TTGTTCAGGGACACTGGTCTTTGGCGATGTGCAGTTTATTTTCGTTTGCTTGCCCCTAGCTCCAAAGTGCGGGCGTATCGCCATGATACTCATGAGTGGAACCTCCTATGGAGGGGTACCATTGCGATGTTTCTCAGCTCACCTATGGAATTTGTCCTGGTGTGATTTTTGGCCTACCTTGGACTCACGCTAAGGCGCGTGCCCAGACTCTTAACGAGTAACTGCGAGACAGCGCTTGCTGCGGCCAGAAAGGCTTGTTTTCATCCAAGACCAGGGGTGTACCCCATGTCCGGGATCATATGCAGCCAGGGTGGCCATCGCATAGCAGGACAAATGGCGAAAGCATTCTCTTCAGCATAGACTCCTCGCCACTTATGCCTTCCTGGCATCTTGGCAAGCCTACTAAAGACAGTGCAATCTAGGAAGGCCCTACTTCCAATGTACCTCAGCGAGGGCGGGATGGCAAGCTCAACTAGGGCTGCACAGTTCATGAAGGCTTTGACTCGGATTGTATGGAGAGTTGTCGGAAGGAGGACTTCTCTGAGACTAGTGCAGTGCGCAAAGGCGAATTCCGGAATTTCCTCAACATTGGTGTTGCAAAGGTCTACACTCTTAAGCAGTCGGCAACTGTCGCATGCATGCGCTCCGATAGCTACAAAATGCATTGGGAGAGCAAGTGCGGTGATTCCCGTAGAGCTAAGACAGCCCGGCGTCAACTCACTGGTCCTAGCTTGCAGTACTGACTCTCGGGGGGATGGAAGCTCACTTAAGGTAAACTCAGCAAGGTTAATACACCCTTGAAAGAGGTATTGTCCTAACTTGGCTTCGCTATTGAACATATTTGCAATCCCTTCCGATGCATACACCCATTGCAAGGAACAACATTCCGCAAAGGCTTTATACCCAAAATCTCGACAACCCGGAGCCAAGACGCTGTTTAGTAGTTTGCAGTCACGGAAGACGTTATCGGAGATGCCTACCACTGTGGCCGGCAGTTTGACGATGCGGAGCTGCCGGCAGTTTTGCCAAGCCTCTGCTCCAATGAGCCTGATGCCTGACTCTACACTGGCGTGTCTCAGTTGTGGAACCCCTGCAAAGGCCCCTTCTGGGACCTCTGGGTTCATGGGGACATGAACTGCTAGCGGAATGTGATGGATAGGGCAATCCTCAAGTTCTTCTTGAGATGGCAGGATAACACTGCAGTTCCGAAAGACAATAGTGTATTCCGTGCCTTGCTGTAGCTTGTCCCAGATTGGGTCCTCTAGGTAAATCTGTGTGGCAGTTTGTAAAAAGTCAATGAAGCACCCAAATACTTTGAGATCAGTAACAGAAACGAGATAGTCCATGACCTGATCTTCTAGATCCTCAAAGCGATCAAACTTTGCAACACTGAGAGAGACCTGAAAAGTCTCTCCCGAAAGCGTAGTCAGCATCAGGGAGCATTCCATGACCGGCTCCTTTTCAGGGGGAGTGCTAATCATGGATGAATCATCAATCTCCATGTGCGACAGGCTATTTGCAATAATTGTTTGAGCCAAAAGTGTCTGGGTCTGCTTGTGGGCTGTTCTCAAGGCCATGGATTCTGAAGACAGATGCTAAGGCACCCACCTAGAGTCTACCATGGACTGGCATGATATTGGGAGTATTCGTGGTAGAGTTCCTCGTCAAAAGCATCCGAATCAGGTCCATCTGCAGGGAGCAGCTCCACCCACTGGGGTTTTTCAAACTTGTCACACATAAAGAAGGCATTGTGCTCTGCTTGCACCCACTGTTCAATGTCACCCCAGTCCAGGGGGGTAAACCGTTGCAGCTGCTCACACCCACAAAATGCACGGTTGCCTATATCACTGAGCTCCGTCGGGATGACAACTTCTTGCAGTGCCACACAATTCAGGAAAACTTCTTTGCCAATTTGCGTGAGTCGTGGCGGGAGCCATATACAGTTTAAGGCGACACAGTGGGCAAATGTGGAAGAGAGGAGGGCTGTGATCTCTGTGCCCATGAGGTTGACCTCCACAAGGCTTTTACAGTTCTCACAGGCCCGCGGCCCGATATTGTGGAAGTCACTCGGTAAGCAGAGCTGTTCAATGCCTGCGCCGCAGAATGCCCCTTCAGGCAGCGCTCGAGGTTTGTTAGTATGGTCCATGTCAAAGGTGATGGTGGCAAGTGTGAGGCAACTCTCGAAGGCATATTTACCTAGCTGTGCCCCTGGTGCGAGGACATTGCTGTCCTCAGTTTCATGACTGGCCCCAACTCGACCTAGGGAGCAGCACTCCGCAAACACCCTTGGACCGTATTGGATACACCCCGGAGCGGCCACCTCTCGCAGCACGTAGCACCCTTGGAAAGCCCCTTCCGCCAGACTTATGACCGAGGGTGGGAGCTTGACAATTTGTAGTTGCTGACACGTCTGCCAAGCCGCAACTCCTACATGTTGAATGCCAGTTGCCACTTCTACATGCCGGAGCGAAGGTGCAGCATAAAATGCTCTGTCGGCAATTGCCCCCCGCGGATTGGGCGGGACACGAACAGCTTTGGGGTAGCTCTCCTTGCCGTCATCCTGGAACTGCCAGATGGAATGCCCATCTACCATACAGGGACGAACTACAATTTGGAGCTGCGGTCGTTGCAGGAGCACAGTGCGGAATGCCTCTGGCAGGGGTTGCTGCGTGTGGAGGTTGAGCAACTCCAGTTCACAGCCGAAGACATCTAAATCAGAGACTGTCGGCAGAAAGCAGAGAATGTCATCTTCAAGCTCTGCTACATCCTCATAGTGGGAGAGGTCTGCCTGCATTGCATATACCGTACCTGCTATGGTAACCAACTCGAGGTTGATCTCATAACGGTCTTGGTGAGTCGGCATTGTCGCGTAGGCGGTAGCTCGAGCGTGCTTGCTAAGTTTGTTTGAGCCAAACTACAGAGACACCGAAGATATAACCTTGGAAACCCCAGGTCAGGTACAGCCTATTGCCCTATACATGAATTAAAAGTACGCCCCAGACTAGAAAAAAATACGATTCAAAAATACGCCTTGGTAGAAAATACGCTTGCCCTTGTAGAAAAATACGATTGAAAAATACGATTGTAAAAAAAATACGATGGGAAAAATCACAACCTCAGTTGAAAAATACAAGTGTATTTAAAATACGATTGCCAAAATGAACACCTAGTAAGAAAAATACAATTGTAAAAAATACGATGGGAAAAATCACAACGTCAGTTGAAAAATACAAGTGTATTTTAAATACGACTGCCAAAATGAACACCTAGTGAGAAAAATGCACTTGTAAAAAAAATACGCTTTGGAACACAAAACAACAAAGCAGTGTATTTTTGGAAAGGCTTTCTTGGAAACAATCGTGTGCTTAGTGGCAAAGGGTAACATAAACCAAGGTTGTCATTGTGGCACACACACAAAGGAGTGCAGATGTTGATGTTCCAACAACACAACTCGCGGGCTTTTGTCCTCTTGTTGTGCACCTTGCAGAGAGAAGCGCGACACTTGGTATATGCTAGTGGTAGACCTAGCACTGTGCCATCGATGAGCGGGCTTCCACACAGACCCCACACCAGCCCACTGCAGAACAAAGCTACCCTGGCATGTGCCAAATGTGGAGGGGCCATTCCAAGAACAGATGGTAGCTTAGGAACCTTCCCTTCCACTATTTCATTCCCGATAAATTTGATTGGTAGTGAAATTGTTGATTTCACTCCTTTGATTGGTTTGTTTCTGGGAACATTGACACTGTTGTCTGCGGAAAGGAAGCACCAACACGAGGACCATGGAAGGGTTCAGGAATGGGCAAGTACTTGTGGACATAGGCAGTAGTTCTGACCAACCCCCGCCCGAAGCACCCACCGTAAGCGTACATTTTACATGTTTTTGCGCGAGAGGGTTTCTGCTGGCGACAGGGTTATGATGATGCTCTGCTCTTAGTCAAAGCCAACTGTGGTTTGTTTAGTGGCACCCCATAACCGCACGGTGATTCATCTTGGACCATGGCGTGACTGCACATGGCCTGTAGACTTTAGACCCATTGCAAGGGTGGATTCAATCGTGGTTTCAGTTTTTGGTAGGCCGAAAAGCAAGGGCGCAAGGCTCCAAACATCACACATTGGAGCCCGACTTCCTTTGCTTGTTTGTCACACAGCAAGCCCAGTGGACAGGTTTCCCCGAACAACCCAAGCATTTGCCAGCTGGCCGCTGGTTTGGCCAAACACCTGGAAGTTGCATCGCAATTTTTGTGTTGGTTGGGCATCTGTGTGTTTGACTCAGGGCGTCGTGTTTGGTCACTTGACACGCAAACTCATGCGCCAGGTGTTGGGTGAAGGTCAATTTTGGCAATAATGAGTTCAACCTGCTCGTTGTGGACATGTTTTTTTGCCTAGGCCCACACCCAAGCCCAAACAACAATTATTTGTAGTTTGTGCCTGTTTAAGGTGGCAAACTTAGAGACTCTACACAGGGGGAAAGTGGAGGCTATGTTTTGCGCCAGTGTGCAAACATCACATGGGGGGCAGTCCTTACATAGTCCCATTAGGGATTTCACTGGTTCAGGCATGCAACACACAAAGGCAAGCCGTGTTACCAGAACATGTCTTCGGTGTGTACACTGTACACACATACCCACCCAAGAGCCAAACCAGTTTTGCACGGCCAACAGTGCTAGTCACACCTGCTTGTTGGATACGCCGTTCTTTTGGTTTGTTTTTGTAGTCAGTTTCTAGGACAGAATGCGCGCACGTGTTTTACTGCGTAGAACGCTTTCATTTTCATTGTATTTGCCAGTTTCTGGACTTGGCCTGGCCTTCCATGCTGTCTCAAGCTCACGAAAGGTTACGAGCTGTCGGGCTGACATTCATATCATATCATCGCAGTATATTGGGTGAACGCAGTATAGCCAGCAAGCACTCACAAGGGGTGAACCACATCGGAACGTTGAATATTTGGTTTTCATGGCGTGTCTTTGCAACCAACGTTTCTGCCCAACCTTTCGGCCATGGCAGGGAAGCCAGCCTTGGCGATTTTGTTCAAGGGCACCGACACGCCCGTCCTTTTGTCTGAGCTGACAATGAAGCAAGAAATGTGGCTGGAGAACGGAAGGCCTTTCGAGTACGTCCGCATTGACCCTCCGATGGAAGGTGAGCCAAGTGAGCATGAGGATGGTTGGGCTGGGATGGCCGGCGAGGAGATGGATGCCTTGTCAGAGCTCAACGACAAGATCATGGAAGCTGAACTGACTGAAAGCAGCGGAGAGGAAAAGCATTCGGCGGGTTCAAGCAAGCAAGGTGTTGCTTCAGCTGCCGAGAGGGTGGCCCGATATCAGGCTAGCCTCATTGCCCCTGACATGGACCAGAGCAAAGAGACATACTGTGTGGAGGATTTCAAGCGCGTCGTCAAGGAGCTGAAGGTTGAAGGTGAGCGGCCTCACCACCAGACCCCCATCAAGGTACTGTCTGGGTGCACTGGCATGCTGGCAGAGGGATGGGTGTGCAAGGCTGGGCTTTGAAAATCAGTGCCGCCCTGTGAGAATGGCCAGTGACCAGTGTAATGGCCGCATACACCCGAAGGTTTGTGTTCCCACTGACACCTCTTTGTGTTTTTGTGTTTTCATCCAGCTCCGTCTTTCTCACCGCCTTGTGTGGTTCCCTTGGCCTACCTACCTATTCGTTGACCTTTGTTTGCCCCCGATAGCAAGCCTTGTGTCCAAACAGTTTTGCTTCTTGACAATCTCTAAGACTCTAAGACTCTACGTTTTCTTTTCCTGCGGCCCTGCTTTCTGCAGGTTCTAGGTAGGCTTAGGTGATGATGTATCAGTTTCTTGATTCCAGATTCCAGATGTCAAGCATCACTTTTTCAATTCAACATCATTCCCTTTGGCCCTACCTTACCCTACCCTACCCGCAAAGACTTCAAAGATTTCAGCTACAGTGAGTTGTGAGGTGAACTGTTCTTTCGTTGTTTTTGTTTGCTACGATCACAAGCGGCTGCCCAAGTTATCAGTCTGTACCAGGTGCGCGGGCGAATCGCTCAGTATTATATGTGTCTGCCTTACACTCGATAGTAAACTTAGTAACACTACTTTACAGCAACTCACCGGGGAGCATGCCAATTGCCTGGCAAAGAAAGGATTCCCAAACACACCCAGAAGCACTCACTCCTTGTATACTGTCACTTTAAGACCTGTGCAGGAACGCGCTCACCCACCAGCCAAACTCAGACGGACAGTTTTAACATGGCCGTAGCTCCCCAACAAGTTTCATGTCAATCAATCAAACTCCTTGCGCCAGTTGCTGGGCATTCCGGTCGAGTCCTACAATTGCAGCGACCCAAAGCCAGAAAGCTATTCGATCGTGAACTTGAACTTTGGGCCGCAGGTTGCTAGCTTCCACAAAACCTTGCAGGAACAGATCAGCCGCTTGGTTGAGCCTTGCCACAGTGATTCCCAGGAAGCAGCTGACGCCAAGCACTTAGAGAACCCCGACCTTGCTGTTGCCGGGACGCCTTGCCAACCATTCTCACGGCAACGGTCCAAAAGAAGCGCAGACAACTCCGTTCGGAGCCATTCCAAGTTTTCCACAACGTTTGTGGATCTCTTGGATTGGCTGAGGGCCTTTGAACCGAAATGCGGGGCATTTGAGCAAGTCGAAGGGTTGGATTGTCCTGAAAGTACTGCATGCCGCACTACACCATTGGAGAGGCCGGGTTCTTGGTGTAATTTGTTGAGCGCCTTTCAATAATCCAACTTTTCTGGGACCATGTTTGCAAATGCCTGTGTTGCCCAACAAAAGACCAAATAGGTTCAGTTTGTGAGTTGAGGAGTCTAGCTGTTCAAATGGGATTCGATCTGTCCATATCAACTATGTCGATGTCTATGACGTGACTAAGTAAGAGCACCATGACTTAGCTGCCTTGTTGGGTGTTGTTGTTCACTTGATCTGAGTCTAGAGTTCTAGGATTCTAGAGGTCCTAGAGTCCAGATTCAGTCTTGGCTTCTAAACAATTGAGGTCGAGAAGAGAAACAAAGAGACAGATAGATAAATAGATAGATAGATTAGATAGTAGATAAATAGATAGATAGATAGGTAGGTAGGTAGATAGATAGATAGATAGATTCAGATAGATAGATAGGGATAGAGTCTGATAGAGAGAGAGAGAGACTGAGAGACAAAGAGGGGACAGGCGGATACTGGGTAGGTGCTGTAACTGGTAGCTGGTAGCTGGATTTGGGTATTGGAAAATAGGTCTGGGAAAGGATGACTTGTTAGGTACGTACGTTTGGTGGACCTTTTTCGGCATGAGTGACTTGAGTCATGAGTCTGGAACTTTTTCAGGCTGTTGGAGTTGCTCGATGCGAAGGAGTGGGGTCACGGCGGCTACCACATGGAGCCTGTCCGCATGGATTCTTCAGCGTGGATCAACATGAGCCGCCCAAGGACGCTTTCCGGGTGGGTCGGGACGCTTTCCCGGGTGGGGTCGAGTGACGCGCTGTGAACTTGTGGGACAGTGAGATTGCAGGATCAAGACTGGACTATGATGAATTTTTGCTCTAGGACCCTAGGATTCTGACTCCTGACTAAGAGTGCAAGTCACAGAGTGACGCTTGCGTGCTCTAGCGGTCGCTCAGAACGTTTTGGATCGGCGCGCAAGAGAACAAGCAAAGAATAATAACATATTTTTGGTGGCTCAAGTAGGCCATTTCGGGAAAGCAGCCGGGAACAATACAAGTTCCAATCTCCCACAGCCCAAGCAAATCACAGGCCACAATGAAGAGGCGTGTGTATATAATATAGTATATAGTATATATAAATACCATTTACTGTACGTCATATGTATACATGTTAGGTCAAAAGAAAACATATGATACAGCATTACCTGTTTCCTGTTACCTCCAATTGCTGCAGGCAGTCTTCGTCATAGTAATCACATCCAAATCAAGGCAACTGATCAGATAACTGATCACTGTTTTAATACGTTGTGCTTGGGGTTGTTTGGGAGGCCGCTGGAGATTTTGCAGGTGTCTTAAATGCCAAGACTGCCAAAGTCGCAAACCATCACCCAGTTTTGCTGCCTTACACTATTTTGTGTTCTATCGCGTTTACGTTCCTTACAACTTGTTTGCTTCCTTTTTGTTTTAGTAGTATACTACGCGATACTATAGTTATTATTAAAAAGATACGAATACTACTGATGACTGATGCTTAGGCCCGGCTTACTTACTATCCTGCCAGGATTCAAACTGCACTGTACAGCGCTCACACCCAACCACACACGCCTAGGCCCTGCAAACCCACAGCTACCAGAGCACCCTTCAACTTCACGAGACTGTTTGCAGCAAAACACAGAGTATACACTGCACTGCACAATCTTCAGTGCTGATTATCATCCTTGCCACGAATGTGGCAGAACTGTGAGGGTGAGCCATGTTTTTCACACGTTTCTTCCCAGTGCTCATTTTGAGTGCTGCTGCCGTCACCATGTCCGATGATGAGGCTGGTTGGGGTGGTCTGGCTGATGTTGCGGGGGTAGAATCATTGCAGACCCCACCGCCAAGCAATGCAGCCAGATCTAGCTCCTGGCTCGTTGAGGAGGATGAGAACGAAGCTGGCTGGAGCTCCGTTGCAGCTTCAGCAGTTGGGTCAATTGGGACACACAGTTCTGCTGCTGCTTCTTCTAAAAAAACGAAGAGGGGGCGCCCACCAGGCATCAAAGGGAGCCACTCCTTCCGGCGTGAACTGAAAGCTCAGGTGGAAGAGGACAAGAAAAGAGCACCAAACCAGAAAAGGCCACTGAGCAGGGCTGAAGTTTGTTCAATTGCCAGAAAGGCAAAAAAGGGTAGACTAAGTGAAAAAACCCTGCAAGTAGTTGAGAGTGAGTCTTGTGGACGGCCTCCCACTGATCCAAGCCCAGAGATCGGTACAGACCTAGAGAGGTCAGTGTTCAATGTGGCCCTGTCTGCTTCACATGCTCATGTGCATGAAGCCCTCCAAGCTGCTGCAGGTTCTGAAATTACAGGTCCTAGCCTGTGCAGAGTGAGTTCAGACTTCGCCCCTGCCCGCTTCTTGGAGACTTTGTTCAGGTCAGGGGAAGACACTTTGCTGGCACCACACACTCAGGACCCTGAGAGTGGGGATATACGCCGAGTCCTTTCCCATTTCTTCAAGCCTTACCGTGGCTACTGCACAGTCAGCCGAGACTCTGAAGCCTTTAAGGTCTCAGCAAACACTTTCTCAAGAACTTTGATTCGCACAGCTTCTGCTTTGCGGACAACTTCCAGGAAACTGTTTGGCAACCTTTTTGCGCAGGCCAAGAAGTTGCTGTCTGAAAACCATGAGGGTGTGCTATTCTTAGTTAATTTTCGCTTCGATGAGACGCCTTCACGGATCAAAGTCAAGGACTTGGACAGTGCCTTTCTTCCAACAGATTCTCAATCAGGGGCTGGGAAGTCAACGCAAGCTTCCCAGCAGTTGGCAAAGCTCTTGCAAACAGAGTTGTCAATCTCCATGCTCTTTCGTGAGACAAGCAGCGGCGGCGGTCAGGGTCAGGGAAGCCACCTTCTTTTGACGGGTTATGTACCAACCCCATTGCAAGTGCTCGATAGGCAAACAGCTCAGAATCTCAAGCAAGCTTTGGACGCATCCATGAACATACCAGGATTGGAAGAGACAGCAGCTGCCTTCAGTAGCCGTGCGTTTTTGTTCTGCGCCGATGAGTTTTCTGCAAACGGTTTAACTCAGTTCGGGATGCAGGCCACACGGCCTGGCTGGTTGAGAATGTCAACCCTATGCGACATTCACAAAGGCAGTACTGTGCAGGGAAGGGTTTTTGATTTGACAGGGCCTGCAATCTCTGCTGTTATCAACTTTGCTTTGTCCATGCAGGCAGCAGGGTCTGTTGGCAAACTTCAAGCGTTGTTGAGTGATTTGCTGTCGGCACGTTTTGAGCTTCAAGTGGGAGATACAAACACTCCGTTCTTGAACCCAAATGCTGCTGCTCACAACAAGGCAGTCTTAGACCTTTACCTGTCTGTACCTGACCACTTCACTCTCAAAACAGCCGACGCAGTTTCGTCCAAAGCGCGGCTCCGTTACACGCAAAGGCAGAGACAGAGATCAATCATTGAGTATTTTTGCAATGGAGATTTCAGGGATACTTCGAAGATCATTCACTGGGCTGAGCCGGGCCAATACAGCAGCTTTGATGAAGCTCTCCAAACGTTCTTAAAGTACATGGTGCCAGCCTTGATCCCCTGTGCATGTCCAATCTTTCCAAGGAGCCGCTGGTTTGGGGCTGACGCAGCTTTAGACTTTGTGGGGCTTTTGTGCAGTGTCCACAGCTTGTTCCTACCGTTGGTGGAAGCATGGGCTGGTCGAGACATTGCACCACAGCCAGCGCCAGCCACACAGTCAGATGATGATGGTGATGATGCTGGTTGGGATTTGGCACCACGCAAGCCGGCTCCTGTTTTGCCAGACCAGGCTAACGAGAGTGCGAAGCAGGGAGACCCAGAGGGAGATGAGGCAGCCGGTGCTGGCGGTTCGGATGGTTTTGATTGGCACGCTTACCACATGAAACTCAAGACCAGCGTTGTTGACTGGCTGCGTTTGGGAGCGCGCAACGTTGGTCCCAGCTCAGAGGGGCAAATCGCCCTGATGCGCCAGTATATGGCTCCCGTGCTGCGGCTGATGACTAGCTTGCTCTACGTCAGTAGCAAAAAGTGGACAAAAGAACAACTTCGCTGTGAGGCTGATGGCGGGCAACGTGAGTTCCGCGTTCTGAAGGCTTTCGAAGCAGTTGAAACGCTGAGCCTGCTCAAGGAGTGCTTGAGGCTTTTGAAATGCTCTCCACTGGTCTTGCCAGAGGCTGATTGGAAGCAAGACAACAATGTCCTTTGTTTTACCATGCTCTCGCGGTTGGGGTGTGCGACCCACCAGCTTTTGCTTTGGCGAAGACGGAAATATCCATATGCTTTGCCATGGCCTCAGTTGACAACACCGAACACAGACCATGAACATTCGAAAGAGTTTGTTTTGGTCATTGTCATAGTCGCAGCCATAGTAATTCCCACACTGATAGTGATAGCTGATAGCTGACGGATAGTAAAGTAGCTTAGTAGCGACTAGTGACTAGGACTAGTGATAGTATCTGATAGTGATTAGTGGTTTTCTGCGTCGATTTGTTTGTGTGTTTTGTTGCATCTCCTGCTTGTGAGTGTGAGCGACTTGGTACTGCCAGAACCAAAGTCTAAAGTCTCAATGGCCGATTTGTTGGGAACGTTGCAGGGATACTCTGCATAAGGGAATCACTCCACACCCCAATCCCCTTCCAGTTGAACGTGTTGTTCCTTGAGTTCAGGTGGTATCTTTTGTCTGAACAGGTGTTCTTTGATCAGGAGCCGCAGCTTTTCTTGCACCCTGCCCACCCGCCCCACATGGGAGCTGTGGTGAAAGGCGCGAAGTAATGCGAAGCCTTAGGAGTCATTGCACCATCCCAATGGATGGTTGTTTAGGGGACCAGGGTTGGTGCCAGGTCCGTGAGCGCTGATTTTGGGGAGAGAGGGTTTGGGTGATGATTTACAACCTGGATTTTACAACCTTGATTCTCGTGCGTGCTGAGCCGGAGGCCACTTAAGAAAACAAATGACTGCCAAACTAAAGGCAGGATCACAACTCCTAAGCCCTAAGCCCAATGTGCTGCACATATTCCATAAGCCATAAGCCATAAACGAAGGCCAGTTTGTGTCGAATGGAAATTGAATTCACTTCACTATGGCCAGTTTTCCCAAGGTTCGCTGCCTTGAACTGCCAGAGGGAGGCTAAAGAAGTCTTCAACCACAGGCGGTGTTTGCAAGATGAGGTCACCCAAGAACTGTGCAAGATGTTCCAGTCCGAGGAGCTTTTCTCTTCAGAGTGCTGTTTGGCAATCATCCAGTCGATTGCCAGTGTCATGGAGACAGACATCGGAGCAATCGAGCGCCAACATACTATCAGCCGAAAGGTTATCATGGCAAGATCAACGGCCAGACCAGTGACCCTGCAAACACTGAGCGCCGATTTCTTTTTGCGACAGTACACCCAGCGTACAACAGACAGCTGTTCGTTCAACTATATTGACGGCGAATCTGTCCGAAGCAAGCTGCGGAAGGCCCAGAATAGACCTAAGAAAATCATCAAGAAGAAGCCAAAACGAGGCGGTGGCGGTGCTTTCAGGGCCTTTCTGTCAATGACAACAAAAGGTTCCAAAGCCTCCGGAAGCTCTTGGTCAGGCTTATGCAGCCTTGACAGAAGAAGATAAGGCAGTGTACAAAACTGTGGGCGTCGCAGCTGCGCAGAGCCATCGTCAAGGCCACCATGCTTTCGGCAAAAGGAGCAGACCTGTGGCCAAGGCCAAGCTACAGCAGCTACAGTTGTCTCCTTCAGCGCTGTCTCAACCTTCTGCTTCTCATCCCCAGCAACTCCAGCCGTTTTCTGCACAGTTGGTGAGCCTTACCCCTGGGGTGGTTTTGCAGAAGGGCATGAAGGATATTCGCGCCAGAAGCATTGCAGTTGCAGAGCAAGCCAAGATTGCCAGGGAAAGTGCCCATGCTGCTTTGACAAATTTTTGGATGGGTGAAGGCAGTGTGCCTCCTGCATCTTGTCAAGCTCTCTTGCCCGGAAGTCCTGCAGTTGGCCGAGCAGCCAATGCTTTCATCCCAAGGCCTTCGAAAATCCCATGGGCAGAATGGGTGCCCCCAAGCAACATTCTGGCCCAGGACAGTGTTGTTGTTTCTATTTCCTTTTCCTTCCCGTATTGTTGGTTCCAGTCGATGTTGAAAAGTTAGCAGCTAGCAGTTAGAAGACACTATAGACTGTAGACACTGTAGACTAGCCACCGCACACTGTAGACTGCAGACTCTGCAGACACAAAGCACAAGGCTTTGTTGACAGTTTGGTTTTTCTTTGACTGCGACGCGACACCAACTGAAATGACCAACCGTTGACCAACCTACCAAATTTTAAACTAACTAGACTTAACTCAACTTAACTAAACTAACTAGCTATCTAGCTACCTAGCCAGCTAGCTAGCTAGCTAACTAGGCACACGAAACCACTGAGCCTTAGCTCGAATAAACTAAAGAAGAACCCCAACTTAGATTCAGACTGGGACTTGAAGTATCAAAGCCATGGACTCTAGACTCTAGACATGGACATACACCATAGGCCCTAGGCCTTAAGCCTCGAGCGGGCACAAGAAATGGTAAACTGAAATTCCATAATAGGAAAGTTTCTCTGTTCCCTGGCTGACGTTTCCAGTAAGCACAGTAAGTAGCCGTCAGTAACTGTCGCTGCAACTGTGTCAGAAAACTAGCGGGCTTATGTAGTAGCTTAGTAGCCGCAAGTGACTAGTGACTGACCAGTGCGAGGTTTCCTAAGCAACTCCATGTAAATGGAGCCGCCACGTTTGCTAAGGTATTTTCCCAACTGCTAGAAAGGTAACTGGCTAGGTTCTGGACCATAGACAGGCGCGAAAACTCTAAGACTTTAGGCTTTGTAGCCCGTTGATTTGCAAAGAAATCTGTTTTACAGCTTTAACTCTAATGACTTTTGTGACTCTTGTGATGTTGGGAGGCTGAGTCTGAAACTTCCCATGACCTACTGCCCAGCACTTTTTCAATTTCGCCCTGAGGCTGCCATCGCAGACTCCACTGGTCGCCATGGTTTTCTTGGCAAGTTGGAGGAAGATTGGGACAGGAAACACAACATCTTTTACCATTCCAGAGCCCCACCGCTACCAAGCAGAACAGACCCGAGCGCTAGACACGTGTTCAGGGGGAAGAGATGCCTAGACTTGGGCATGTGTGTGTGTGAGCAAGAAGGCCGGGCAGCTCTTTTGTTTTGGCAGAAGCTTTCCAGCGTGTTTCGCAAGATCTTCAAGAAGAAGACACCAGAACGCGCCAAGCTTGATGCAGGGCTGATCGTGTTGCACTGCCAATCTGAAAAGGAGCAACTGTTCTACCATATGGGTTATTGCAACCTCAAGACCTATCATTTTACAGTTTTGGCCATGCAGCCAAGAGGGGAGATCACACACATCGAGAAGCAAAGAGTGCAGCCGCTTTGTTTGAGTGAAGGGGACGACATCTACAACAGCATCAAAGTTGCCGTGCATTGTTTTTCAGACTTTGATTTGAACAAGCGATGGACCATACATATTCGGCCATTGGTGCTGAGCTCTCAGCGCTTTTTCAACCTCTCCCACATGTTCCCACACCATGTGGATGTTCTCATGGAGACAGGAGCTCTTCCAGCCTTCATGTGGGAAGGGTGGGATGAGGAGCGGCCGCAAAGGCGGGGGGCTCCACGACCAAAGCCGAAACGCGCTGGCAATGATGCGGGTGAGGCCGAGGCATGGCGGCCAAGACCAAAACAAAACCCCGAAGCAGAGAGGCCAAGGGCGGTGACACGGCAACATGGGGTTCTGCTCATCAGGAAGGTGAAGCAAGTGCTTCCCGTTCATTGGTTGTTGATGAAGACAAACCTTGCACTGGTGTTTCAGACTGCGAGTATACACCTACAGAGGTGGCGCCAGGTGACGTTCCGGAGAGTCCGTTTTTTGATGATGATGATGCCCTGTCAAATTTCGAAAATGACAGTGACAGTGGAAACTCAAACCATGAAAGCGGTGATGACGGGGACGGCGACGCTGTCCTCAATGAGTGGGTGAAAGCAGCTGGTCAGTGGTTGGATCTAGCGGAGGCAGAAGCATTTTTTGGAGAGGATGAAGGGGAGGGTGACGGTGTTGATGTCCCTCAGCCGCCGGCTTTTCCTGGACATGTTGCTGCCAAAGATGTTGGCCCAAATGACCTGGACCTGGACAATGTCCAAAAGAGTTTGGACCTTGCCTTTGAAAGTGCCGTTGACTTTCCACAACTTTCTAACCCAACTACTGCAGCGCCAGGGCATCCTAGCTCTGGCCCAAGTAGCCAAGAAGGTCCAAACCATGGCCCCAACAATGAGGGCGCCAGCCCAAGCTCGAATTCCAGCAGCAGTTCAAGCAGCAGCCTTAGCCTTAGCAGCGACCTTAGCAGCGACCTTAGCCTTAGTCCTGATTTGCCACTGGACAAGGCGGAGTCTGGGGTCAAAGATGCCACGGCCAAGACAAGAGTGGCCAAAATTGAAGATGACAGATTTGATTTCCCTCCCTATGGGAGTGTCCGCTATAACTACAGGCAGCGCAACCTGGTTGCGCACTGCAGTTGTCATTCTGGAAACTGTCGTCGTACCCGCACTGTGAATCCACCAACAGGCCGTGGCCGAACCAAAGGGCAAGGTCGCCCTATTGGTCTGTTGGTTGCATGGTTGCAAAAAGCAGAGGACCACACAAGCGACAAGAATCACAGTAGCCAGTGCAGACCATCTTTACATGAACGACACACTGCAAGGGAGACTTTCTACGATTTGGGGGGCAAGGAGTGGGCCCAGACTTATGAGCGGGAGAAGGAGGACAATGAGCCTTCAGAGCTTGAAGACATAACGTGACTCTGGCACACTTCGCTAGGCCCTAGGCTTTGCAGCGCCTTTCCCCATTGGGGGCCTTCAAAACAACAGTCGGCTGAAGGGCGTTTTTGGCAGAGGTCGTTTCAGCAGATGCTGATATGCAGCTACGCCACCCGTGCCAGCTTTGCTACATGCCGCATGCCGTATGCGGCACGATCTTGCTACCGAGAGATTGATTCGAAAACAGTGTAACAATGCGGACTCTCATTTTGTTCGGTCTCAAAACAGCCGACGGTCCAATGGTGTTGGTCGGTCAGCCCTGGTCACTGTCGCATTCTTGTGTTCTTATTCTTGTGACCTGTGCCTGTGCCTGCACAGTCCATGCCAATTCGCGCGCGCGGTTCACTCATAGCAGCAGTTCCAACCAGCCGCCAGGATCTACGTCGTGTTCATTCGGAAGGATATTGGTACTGCACAGGATCTTCAGAAGGTGGTGCAGACCATCAAGGAGGGGCTTGGGTCGAGTCCAGCTCAGTTGTGCGTTTTTGGGCCTAATGAGATTTTCAATCAATAAAATAACCAATTTCTGTTAGCTGATATCCGATAACTGATAACTGTTAACTATAAGAGTCTTAGAGTCTAACAAACTGCACCGGGGACATGGCAATCAGGCTGAGGGTTCCAGTTCCAGGTTGCAGTTACTCACTAACTAGTCACTACTACTACTACTACTGCTACTACTGCTACTACTACTACTACTACTACTAAGTACTACTACTACTACTACTTATACTTACTACTACTACTACTACTACTAGTTACTAGTTACTAGTTACTAGTTTCACTAGTTTCTCGCTACTGATACTGATTTTGATCACAAACAGTACCTATAATTAATTCAATACTCCTTAATTACTTAATTATTACCCAAACTAATGACAACCAGTGAGATCCTATATAGCAACGATCCCTCACTCTTGTACTCGCTTACTTACTTGCTACGAACGGTGACTAACCTAACTGACTTCACCTAACTGTTGCAGTTACCAACTAGTCACCCCTTATTTTGTTTTAGCCATTTGCTATCTTTTTACTTAGTTGGTAGTTGCTACTGCTATTGCTGCTATGTTAACTAGTTGCAAATCAGCAGATTGCAATTAATGGCAGGTAGTTGCTGGCTGTTATAGCTACGATAAATTGTCATTGGTTGCTTCAAAAGTTGCACTATCATTAGTCCAATAACTAAATGATGACTGAGAACACATGGTAGACTGCCTCTGAAAGAGGCCTTTAGGGCGGCGTAGTAGGTGCCGCGAAGGAATGGCGACCGATCAAACTCAAATTAAGCTACCAGCTGCTAGCTGCTAGTTAGCAGTTAGCAATAAAGTTAAGGGTTTGCTACATGGTACATAAGCAGCACGCTTAGCCGCGGCCATAGCCCCAGCCCACAGGCCCACAGCTAAAACCAAGCTGCAAGCTAAGTCCTGAACACAGCGCCCGTTCGGCCACGCATCTCAGGACATCGGTGCCTGCCGCAAGAAGTTCCCACCAGCCAAGTGGACAGACTTGCTCCTTCCCGATGGGCCGCAGTTGGACGACTGCTTTGCGAAGTTTGGGTTGGGCCAGGCCCAGGCACCTGGCCGAAGCAAGGTGCCATGCGAGTTTGACGTCGTGATGTGTTGTCGTGTATAGAGTGTAGAGACTGTTGTGTCTTTTTGTAACCTGTTGCGGAACTGTTGCACTGCACTGTACGATTGTTCAGGGCTTTGGCCTTTTTGAGTCAGGAGGCCTAGACACCTAAGCGCCCAAAGCCCAAAAGATCTAAAACCAAGGCGTAACCGCAAGAGTCCACGGCTCTCTCTGTTTTTTTTAGCTACGCCAACCACGCCTGGCTATGCTTACTGAGGGCCTGGGTGAAGTGCTCCACTGAAGTTGCCCAGAGATGAGTTTTTCGCATGTGTTTTGATTTTTGTGGTTGGGCTACAGCAGTCTTGGAGCACAGCTGGAAGTTACACTGGCTGCTCATGAATACGGGATCCAAAGCTGTGGAGTTTAGTGACTTTAGTGTTTGGAGTTTAGCTGTTTAGCTGCTTAGGCTTAGCTGCTGGGTTTGGACTCATAAGGCCTTCTCAGACTTCAGGTTCGACAGCTGTGCTTTGAGCCATTGCATAGCTGGCGTAGCTTAGTTGCTGTGCTGTCACACTTTGAGACGCCTGTGTTAGATGGAGGTAGGCGTCCACTGCCAGCAGCTAGCAGCTAGCAACTAGCATCTAGTTAAGATTTTTTTGGGCAGCTGACTAGGCTAACTGGGCAAGCGGCTAGCGGCTAGCGGCTAGGTGGCGGCGTGCGAAGCTGATAGCTGTTGCCTGGGCTGGCTTCCGCCTTCTAGACAGCGACGTCCAAATGTTTTTTTGACAGCTGTGCAGCTGTGCTTCTTTAATGGAAACACTGAGCGCGTAGCAGCAAAGAACGCAGGCTAAACCTAAACCTAAACCTAAACTAAACACCAAAACACGCCTGAAGCAGAGCAGCAGAACGCGCGCTGTGCTTGGGCTGTCACTGTCGCTGCGTGTGCCAAATGTTCTGTCTTCTCTTTCGCCAGGCAGCTCACACGCAAGACTCACAACCAACAAGTTGTTTGAATCGCGTGCTCACAGTGAGGGGTGGTTCCCGACAGCAGCAGCATTGACTGGCAACTGCGACGACAGCAATCGCATTTTCGGTTCCAATCGTATTTCCTGACAGTTTGAATCGTATTTTCGGAAGCAAACGTATTTTTTCAGCGGCTCCAATCGTATTTTCGGGAGCAAACGTATTTTTTCAGCGGCTCCAATCGTATTTTCGGGAGCAAACGTATTTTTTCGTCGACCCAGCCAGGTTCCAATCGTATTTTCGTATTTTTGGACAGCGTATTTTTTTTACGATTTTCTCGCAAAATCGTATTTTAAATACGATTTTTGGAGAAAATCGTAAAAAAAATACGATCCTGGGGACAGCACGTGGGACCATCGTAAAAAAATACGCCGGTGGTGATCACACGCGGGCTCAGCGTATTTTTTGGACACCAGATGGCCAGGAAGATCGTATTTTCGTACTTTTGTCCAGGGGCCAGGAGGGAAAAACGTACTTTCGCACTTCCAGCCCGGACACTTTTTCTCTTGGGTTGGCCAGGGCAGGGCCCGAATCTGTTCATCCAGGCCCCCGCCCAGGAGCCCAGATGGGCGCCGATTCGGGGCCCGCATTTCTAGCATCGTGGCCTCACCTCTGGCCAGCCGTAGCCTAGGCCTAGCCGCCCAGCCTTAGCCGCCTTGACCGCGCTTAGCTTGGCCGTAGCCGGCGCGGTACCCAGTGGTAGCCGCTAGCCGTAGCCGTCGCCCTAGCCGCTAGCCCCTAGCCGCTAGCCGCTGCCAAGCGGTAGCCCGCTGCCGCTAGCCGCTAGCCGCTAGCCGCTAACCGCTAACCGTAACCGCCTTAGCCAGATCCGATTCTGTTTGCCTGTCTGGAGCACAGCAAACCCAGCCCCAGCCTACCTTGGGGCCATAGAGCCATGGTAAGGCTAGGCTTAGAGGCTTAGAGTCTTAGAGTGGCTTGAGTCTCTAGCCACTCACTAGGCACTAGGCTCCCAGTCACTAGTGACTAGCCGCTAGCCTCAACCCTAGTCATCCTGGCCCTAGTCATAGGTCATAAGCGCAATCTACATTAGTTTGTAGCCAGGCCCACTAAAGTAGTCACATGTCACTAGGACACTGACTAGGGCCTAGGGCAGAGGCCTACTGGCCTACTAAGCGATGCAGCTGCTTGCCATTCCTTAGCCAGCCGAGCCAAGGTTGAGAGGGTCCTTGGATGCTAGCGCTCCGAATGTGTAATTTTGCAAATTCAGTTCGAAGGATGGGTAGGTAGGCCCTAGAGGCCCTAGAGGCCTTGGAGTCTAGAGTGTGTAGAGCGTAGGGGCTATAGGGTCTAGGGACCTTAAAGCCTTTAGATTTTAGATCCCGTGGAGGTACCAAACACTTGGCAATCGGCCCTTTCGGGCGCGAGGGTTCCTGGTTCGATTCCTCCCGCCGCCTCTTGTGCAGGCCAACGATGACCAACAAACCAAGAAGTGGAAGCAGGAGTGCTTGACTTTCAGGAACCGACATGGAGTGAGCCCAGGGTACTCACCATGGACAAGCCAGCCTGGCTTCAAAGGGAGGGGAATGAGTGTCACTGAGCGAGTTAGGGACCTCTTGGACTGCGTTACCATTAGTGAAATGAAGCGGGCAGATGTCCCAGCATCTGAGATCAAGGACCACCTCCAAGACTTTTTTTTGGACGTATCTCAGGGCCTTACCAGATCGGCCCACACCCAAAATGGGATCAACAAGTGTCTTACCTGCAGCGCGACGGCCTATAGTTTTGGCCGTGATCGCCTGGTGGCCGCTTGGGAGACTCTTGTTTTCCAGGGATTCCCCAGCCGCAGCCTGAAGGTGCCCGACACCTTCTCAAATTCGGATCTGAAGGAGTTTGTTGGAGAAGGCATGAACTTGCCTTGCTTAGCCGCCGTGATTTTCAGTCTGTACACGCATGTGCGGTTCTAGGAAGTGTGCAGGGTTCCTCTTGACTCTGGCCACTAGACTCTAGACTCCAGACTCACTAGACTCTTGATGTTGACTATGACTAGACTACTAGACGTGACTAGACTTAAAACTTAGACTGTAATCCTCTGAAAACCAGGAATTAAAAGCATACTCTAACCAGCCCACAGCTAGGGGCTCAGGGATGAGGTTTAGTGCAGGGTATAACCTCCAACTCCAGCTACAGCTAGCTGTACTGCGGGGCCTGGAGTCCTATAGGGTAGCGCAGTCTTTGGGCCTCACACAACATAGAATTTCCAACAAGCCACACCAGTACACAGTACACAAATCACTAAAAGTCACTAAAATCTATATTGCATCTATTCGGCTTTGATATTTTGGGGGAGGCGCAGCTGACAGAGTCGGGCCTCAGAGTCACAGAAACGGGCGAAACACATAATGTAATTTGTTGTTTAGGTTAGTTCACTTGGCAGCTGTAGCTGCTAGGAGAAGGAGGATTCTGTTTGGTTTTTATCAAAGGATTGTTGCAAGTAGGTCACAGCTACTGGCCACTTCACATGTCAGTTCTAGTTGGAGTGGCATCTCCACTTTACACTCTACACGTGATGGCCTTGGACAAGTTTTTGGGTGTGGCCTTGACAGCGCTTCATAGCTTGGGGTAATGTCCCTATCCCATCCCTCAAGCAGCTATGCACCTATCCTATGTAATGCAAGTGTAGCCAGAGCAAGAGGACCAAACTCCTTAGTGCAATAGCTGCAGCTGCCAGCTACTAGGCCATCCCCTTCACATCCAGCTCCAGCGTCGCCGACCTTTGTGCCTGCCTGTGTTGCGCATCTTTCTATTTAAGCCTTTTTCATCAGTCACTAGGATTCTAGAATCCAGGAAGCAAGGCCGCCAGGTTAGTTAGTGTTAGAGCTGCTTCGGGTGAACACTTGGTGTCCTAGTCCTAGTTGGTTCTTCATTCTCTAGTGACTCTAGTGATTAGGATTCATGGTGCAATCAACCTTGTGGAGCAAAAGTGAAGCCAGCAGAGGTGACAGTAGTGTGTGGGCTTCGCGCGCGCTTAGACCAACAGTAGTGTGCGCGTGTTGCCCACTCACGTTTTGGTCACGACGTATGCCAAGCGCCTCTTGAGCGCCCACATGTCTCACAGGTCAGGAATTTTGAGCTTCAGCTTTTCAATCTTAGTTATTTGATTACTTAACCTCAGCCTCCTGGTCTGTGCGCTCAGACTAATGACTGGGTTCAGCGTCAGGGTAGCCAGTCATCGCAGAGCGAGCAAAAACAACGTCTGGAAGACGTCCCAGTCATTCATGTTGAAAGTTTCAGTCTGAGTGGCGGCTGATCTGCGTGATGTTGTTACCTGTCACTCTCACATGTTTGGTTTCATTTTGGAAGCCCACAGCTTGATTTGCTTTCGAACGCTGGAGGCTTGTGACGCGCAAACTCTTTGGAAACCAGACTAGTAAGTAATTAGTCAAGTCACATAGACATAGTCCGGTTTAAATGAACATGGTGCCCCGCCGCACTGCAGATCTTTTGGATCCAGAAATTGGGGCCTTTCGAGCGCGGTTTCTCGAAGTCTCGGTGCGAACATCGGGATGAGCAGGAAGGCCTGCCTGCTGCCAAGGGAAGTTTCATGTGGTTCTTGTAGGTCGGAGTTGTGTGATGTGACCATGACTGCTGAGCAATCCTTGTAGTGAAGTGGTGTTTTTATAGTGGTTAGGTAGTTAGCTAAGCTAGAACGAAAGAGCCTGACAATGATAGCGGTTGATAGGCCTACCTGGCCCTAGCAGGCGCTACTTCAGGAATGTTGCCTCTTTATTCGCTTTGGCTTTGATTCAAACATTTAGCTAGGTTAGGAAATCAAAGCTTCAACACATTTTGGCTCTACAGTCTCTGGTCTTGTGCTGCGCGAGGCTGAGGAGCCACCAGCCATAGCGGTCAAGGATGCAGTTTGCTTCCCACGCAAGAAGAAAATGTCCAAGGACAGTGGTGATGCTTCTTGGGGCTGTTAGAGGAAATTGGAGTACAGCGTTCCGCCGTCGTTTGTTTTTGTCATTGTCGCTTCGCAGGAGGTTATATCTTGACAACCCTTGGGCCCTTGATCTCACTCTTGCCTTTTGACGCATCAGATCTACTTTTCGCTAGCCGCTAGCCGCTAGTTAGTTCACTAGTCACTAGTCATCTGTTTGAGTTAGACTGAGGACTCTGAGACTCCAGACTATAGACTCTAGACCCAAGAACTTCTATATTCTAACGCCGCCAGTCCCCAAAAGTTGCACCCATCTGCAGGTGGGTAGGGGAAGGGATGGGTCGGGTGGACTGACTGGTGAATTTGGAGATGTTAGGTTTCACACAGCGACCATACTTATTCTCGCTCACTCATTCCAGGATGTTCGCTTCTCAATGCCTGACGGCTGCATGGCCTGCGTTGGGCTTGCTTATGACATGTACCCTTTGCTGACCTGGACTGAGTTCTGCAGTATGTTTGCAGAATCCAAAACCTGCCAGAAAACTTTTGAGCAGGGACGCCAGATCCAGGCCGGAGAGATAGATCAACCCTTCAAGGTGAGAGGCAGTGTGAAATCCGAGAACATGATTGGAGTGAGGCTGGAACAACAGTACGTTGCCCTGACCAGTGATGAGGTCTTGTCGACCTTTCAGCTCCCAGCAGAGGCGTTCGAAGACCTTCGAAGCATAGTCTTGGCCAATGAAGACGGGGAGCCAACGACCTTCTACCTCTTCAAGCCAGAGAAGGTCATGCGCTTGGCGAAGTTCTTCAGCGAGCGCGAGCTCGTCAACACAGACCTCTTGCTGGAACCCGACAACATGCTTCGAAAGGAACAGCCTTTGGAAAGGTACCAAGTCCTTTGCAAAGAAGAGGTGAGTTCCCGGAACATGGGAAAAGCCAATTCCAAAGACCCAAAGAAGGGCTCTACTACTGCTGCTGCTAAGTTCATGACGGTCGAGGAGGCAAAGGCCCGTGCGCTGACCATCATTGCTGCCCGGGAGGCAGCAGAGCAGAACCCTGACAGCAAGCCTTCTGAGAAAGATGGCGAGGAAGCTCCTCTCTTTGTTCCGATCGACAAGGTGGAATCGTCTGCCAGCATAGCAGGGACGCAGAAGCAGCCAAAGGCAGCCCCTAAGAAGCGCTCAAATCCCAAAGCGGGAGGCGCCCCCAAAAAGAAGACCAAAACAGGTCAGAACGAGCCTCTTGAAGAGCCTTCAGGAGCGGCAAGTGTGGTGGGAGACGAGAATGTCGGGGGTGGGGACCCTGCTTCTTCAGCAGAAGCTTTGGCCGCCGTCATCAAAGCCAAGATAGGGGGAGATGTGAAATCAGTCAAGAATCTTGACGTCAGCAGGATGCTTCGAGGAGAGCAACTGGGGCGTTCCATTGCTGGTGTATTTGGCCCGCATTGAGAGTGGAACGGAATGGAAGTTAATCACTTCATCCTTTCTTTTTGCGTTGGCCGCCAAGAGCGACCAAAACCCTGCAGCGACCAATTCTGAATATTCAATATCAATAGTGGGCAAGTAGCCAGGGAACACACCACTAACTAACTGCAACTGCTACCTGGCTACCTTCTAACTAGTCAGTAACTCTAGCTAGCTGACCTGGCTGAGTTTAGTAGCAAAGCATGGAAAGCAGCTAGCAGCTAGTAACTAGTAGGTTGGTAGCAGTAACTGAGTAGCCGCTGTAGCCGATAAGTTTGCCACATACGCCATCGTGACTGTGGGAGTGGGCGCAGGGTGGGGAAGGGGTATCGATGCAGCAAAACGAACAAGTCTCCCCTCATTGAAAGCCTCAATCGCCTTGCTCAACAGTGGCAGCCATCGCCGTAGCCGTAGCCCGTAGCAATTTCAGCAGCGGTCAGACTTTAACTATTTTAGCGCTTTCGCAGTCAAGCAAACTTTAGCACCCAAGTTGCTGCCAAACTGCTAGCTGCTAAACTGCTAGCCGCTAGCCCTAGGCCCTAAGCTTCAGCCGTCGCAGCCAACCCTAGTCTTAGCCTTAGGCTTAGCCCGTAGCCGTGCCCGCTTTACCAGGCCACTTCAAGACTTCACACCCCCGACTCCGACACAGTCACATCTATACTCACACCGCCAGGCCCCTGTGGAAAACCAACAAGCGACTAGTGACTAGCCCTTTACTGCCTCACCAGTTCAAAACTTCACAAACCACTCCCTCCTCACGCCTGAACAGGCAAGGAGGATCGTGGAGAAGCTTGAGGAGGGCAAGTGTGTTGAAGCGTTGCTATTGACGAACAGAATGAGATTGTGCGAGCTGGCAGCCAACCTCTACGAGAGAGTCTCTGTCATGCCGTTGAATGAATTGCATCGAACCTTGCAACCTTTGCAGGGAATAGAACTGCCGACCAATTTGGAGTGCAAGCTCATCTCGCGGCGCTGCCTCGAAGCCCTCCCAGAGGACGACCTGACCATCTTCTGGTCCGTATGGCGGCCTTGGGAGGCCGATGGTGATGAAGGTGTTGAAGACTTTGATGCCATGAAACCTGACCTTCGGAGCCTGATTGGATCCTTGTGTGACAGGGAGGCAGAGCTGAAGCAGGAGGAGGACCAGAACCAGAATGTGGGCAAGAGTGAGGACTTCAACCGAAGGTGGCAGGCGGGTGCTAGCTGCTGCTGCTGCCACTTACACAGTGACACAGTTATACAGTTATACTAGTTACTAGTTATACTAATTACTGACCATCGTTTCACTAATCGCTGATCACCGGTCACTAATCATAATCAACGCTTGGTATTCAGTGTTGTTGCTATCAGCGCCTTTACCCAAAGCCGAGTCAGGGAGGAACAAGTTCACAAAACCGCATGGTCAGATTTCAATTCCATATGCGCCCACTCCCACTATATTGCAGGAAACCGTGGCAGGTCCAGGTAGCGCAGGTAGGAAGGCTACCAAGCTACCATCAGCGCAATATATATTCAATGTATTTGTAACTTATTTGTAGTTTGTCATCATGTTTGGTAAAGTATAGGATAGGTCCATAGGTCTAGCATAGGCATTCACTACCTCTACTTCCACTAAATGAATAGGAAAACAGTTTTTAGTGAGTCCCTGAGTCGCTTGCCAAGTGCCACGAGTCAGGCAACTAGTCAACGAGTCTGACTCAGGCCTTGTCACATAGCAGGGCGTTAGCCGTTAGGTCATTAGGTCATTGGATCGCATATATTCTATATTTGCCTTTACATGACTGACTCACTGTCACTGACTCACAGTAAAACAACTAACACATGGTTAACTTATATAACCGGACTTGACGTTAACGGGTCAATAGTCACTAGAATTGGAATATAGGTGTTAGGTTTGGTTCATTATCAGAGAACGGCCAGATCAACCAACCAACTAGTTATCTCCAGGCCGTTGGCGCTTGTGTGCATGAGAGCGTGCTGAACGACCACTTTCTGTTTTTGGTGGCCTCCGCCCCCGAGAAGAACAAGCCCTTGAAAGAGATCTTGGACTTTGTTTTAGAGCAGTTCGCCTTTGCTGAGAAAGAGGGGAAGGTCAGCGGGTTGCCGGAGGCCGTCAAAGAGGGTGTGATGAAGGTCATCCACATCTTCCGTGGGCTGATCGCCTTGATGTCGCCCAGGGCTGCGTGGCTACAATTATAACAATTTTTGAGTCGGCCAACGCAAGAGTCCAATTAGGCCAAGCCCTCGGGCCCAGGCATCATATAGGGTATTTGCGCAGATAGGGCGTGTTTGGCGACGCAGTGACATAGCGACGTAGTAACTCAGCACGCATAAAATCTGTATACTCCTGGAGGGCGTGTGTTTCCTGACGAGAAAGGGTCCGGTATGTTTGCGTCCGCACGGTTTGTCCGGGTTTTGGTTTGCCGCAGCTGGCTCATATTCCGATTCTAGATTCTAGATTCTTGGGCCCTTTTAGATTCTTCAATGTCATAGATGCTATAGTGATAGTGCTATATAATAGCTGCTATAGATTGATATATAGTGGGCCAAAGGGCATAGGTTTCATAGACTATGACTGTGACTGTGACTATGACCCTATCGACTCAAATATTTTTGTCTTTAAGACCACCGATTTTATTGAGAGTCGGCTGAGGGTCTCAGCCAAACCTTTCTTCTGAAATGGGTGTCCGTTCCATGTGTCGAGTTGCAACAAGGTGGGCGTGCGGGGGTCATCGAGCTCAGATGTGGAGCTTCTCACCAAGAACAAAAAGGCAAAAACTATGAAGTCGGGATGCGTTGGCTCAGCTTCGAGTGGTCCAGAGAAAGCTGTCAGCGAGCTCATTTCTGCCAGTTCTTGGTGGTCAGATGCAGCTACAGAATATTGGAAGTGCGCAGTTCAAGCCCAGATCTTGACCCCTCAGATGGATGGCGACATCAGCGCGCTCAAGGACGGCACCTTCACGGCTTCGCCTGAGATGATCTCTGATGGAATCGAGAAGTACCACAAGTACCGCACCAGCATGCGCAAGGGAGCCTACGAGGAGTTTGAGACCCTTTTCTTCAGGCTGATCAGGGACCAGGTGGAGGAAATTATCAGGTTGCCAAGTGTCTCCGCTGTCAAGCAGGCAGGGAGCGAATCGCTTCTGGAGCCTTTGGAGAAGGCCTTGGCAACGTTTGACACAAAGGCTTCCCAAGAGATGGCGACCAAGCTGAACAAGTGGTTTGGTGTAATGAAGGCTGAGTTCGCTGAGGAAGCCTTCCAAACCAAGATCAGCAAGTTTGTCGAGAGTGGATCAGTCAACTGGGATGATTTGGTGCTGGTCGTGAGCAAGCTGCAGGGCTCCTCTCTCACCACCGAGGTTGCCGAGAAAGTGAAGGGCATCTTTGACTTGGTCGCGAAAGACCTCTTCTCCAAGGCGTCGTATGTGATTTTATGTTGTATTAAGCTGCAGCTGGAGGGACTGTAGGTAGGGCCCTGTAGGACTGCAGGCTGTATGTTGGACCTTTGAGTGAAACAGGTAAGGTAAGTAAAAGACTAGTGACTAGTGACTAGCGGCTAGCGACCAGTGATGTTTGCCCAGCTGATGGTCTGTACTCATCGCAACACAGTTTCTTCAGTTTTCCTGTTGGATTTTTTCCGAGGTGGCCCACTTAGTCCTAGTCTTAGTCACCAGGACCAGGACAAAGACGAGCCGCTAGCCGCTAGTCACCGCTAGTCACAATCACTCCAGTGGACCCTATAATCACTTCAGTTATCCAGCGACTTGACTGGTCACTAGTTAGTTTGACAAGCAGTTGAAACCAGCCTCAAGTAGAATCTGAGTCTTGAGGGTCCAAACGTGTCTATCTTCAGCTGGCTCTTTCTGGGATGCAACTGGCAGCTGCTCAGTGAGTCAGCCTCTCGGTCAGACGCCCCGAACTCACAACATAGTCGGGTGAACAAATTCACTGCAGATCTTGTTGTCGTAGCAAAGCACCCGTGTCAAGACTCTTGTAACTCTTGTAGCAATACAGGCTTTGGACATGTCTGGAGTCTGGACAATGTGTAGGCTGTGTATATATATATACAGTGGGACTGTGTTTGTCACAACCTGTTGTGGCATCTGAATCTAGATTCCTGACTATATACAATGAAGCCCCTGTATGCGGTTTGCCAAGGCAACTCTTTGTCATTGTCACTGTCTTTAAAAAAGACCATCTGGACTCACTACTAGAGTCACTAGAGTTAGGCCTTTGTTCTGGGTGCTATGTTGTTTGACTCGGTTTTATTAATCAACCCATATGCCATAAGTGCCTCCTATATGCTTTGTCAGGTGGAAGCGGGCACAGCTGGCGGTCCTCACTTCCAGCTCTTCGAAAAGTTGATCAACATCTCTCTTACAGGGGAGCCGCAGAAGTCGCTGCTCGCGCAGCTCGAATGTGCGAAGCAAGCGACCACAGTGGTGGATGAAAAGAACTCTTTGCTGGCCAGTTTCAAGCGTGATGGCCTTGACGCTAAGGACTTGGTAGTCCGCTTGGGGAATGGGGTTCGCGCTTGGCAGAGCTACTCACTGACCAAGAAGGAGTTGGCTAAGGCCTGCCTTTCTTAATCGCTTCCGGTTTGTTAAGGCTTAGATAAGGGTGGCTGGGGTGTTTGTATGCATGTGGAGAGTATACAAACTAGAGTCACCGGCAGAGTAGGGCAAGGACCAGGACAGAATTTCAAAAGGATCAAACCTCAAGAACTTTTGCAATTGCATTGCCAGCACTCAGCAGCTTTGAAACATATCCCGTCACAGTCCAACCCAAAGCTTTGCCAATTTATGAGTCACAGCCGCACAGCAAAACGCCTAGGTTCTTGGCAATTATTTTATTTAAATATGACAAAAACGGCAAGCTTCGATGTCTCAGTGACTGTAGTAGAGGGTATAGGGGATAGTGCGCCCAACGTTGAGCCCCGTGATGAGCAAAATAGATGCAACATAGTCACATCAATAATCTATAGTTCTGAGTCACGCCTTCCACCAGCGCAGGCAACTGCTAGCAGCTGGCAGCTAGAAAGGCTTCAGATGGCAAGTCCCAAACCAGGTCAAAGGTTCAAGTCAATTTCAAACGCATGCAGGTTAAAACGCATCATCCCACAGCCTCAGGCTAGGACCCCAGGAAAAAAGGACCTAAGGGATTCAACGCAAACCCATTGAAGGTATTTCAGAAGTAGCAGGTATAGCAGGGATTTGCATTCCATTCAATGGTGGCCCGTTTTAACTGGTGACAACTTTCAATACTCAGTAACTATAGAACTTGCTGCGCTACAGCGCATCCCAGCCCTAGGCCCTAGCCCCAGTAGACAAAGCGGCGCTGAGCAAGCTTTACGCTTTACACTGTTACACTTACACACTCGGGTTTTTGTCAGCTCCCTGCGTGCCCAAGAGGTAAGACGTTGAGACCTAAACTAACCGCTCACCGCCGACCGATAGTTGCTAACTGCCAACCGTTCTGTTAGCTGGCAACGGGTCTGGAAATTTCAAATAGTCGAACTCTAGACTCTAGAGTCTGAAGAGTCTGACTCTGTGTGGTTCCTTTTCAACCTGCCTGGGTGCCACAACATCAGGCGCAGGCCACTGACCTGATCTCTTGCGATTTCGGGGACATTGCGGCGGCTTCCAAGTGCGAGGAGTTTGTGGATCTTTGGGAGAGGGTTGGGAATTCTCTCAAGGGCAAGCTTGAGAACTGCTGCGAGGCTTTAAAGTCGTCCATGGAACCGGGTGCCACGTGGAAGCGCGACATCGACGATGTTTGCACGTTGGATCAGCTTTCCCAGCATGCGGAAGCGACTCTCATGCAGGTGAAGGGTAAGAAGGTGGCTCGTGAGAAGGAGAATGTCGAACAGGCCGGTCAAGTCTTTTCATTCCGGAATGCTCATGACTCATTTGATAGTCATAGATATGTCATAGATTCATAGATATTGTCGTCGTATCCATACTCACAATCATATTTCATATTGTCAAGGGAACGTTGCAGGGATACTCTGCTTAAGGGAATCACTCCACACCCCAATCCCCTTCCAGTTGAACATGTTGTTCCTTGAGTTCAGGTGGTACCTTTTGTCTGAACAGGCGTTCATTGATCAGGAGCCGCGACTTTTCTTGCACCCTGCCCACCCGCCCCAGATAGGAGCTGTGGTGAAAGGCGCGAAGTAATGCGAAGCCTTAGGAGTCATTGCACCATCCCAATGGATGGTTGTTTAGGGGACCAGGGTTGGTGCCAGGTCTGAGGTGCTCCCAGCCTGGCACCACCCCTTGGAGTCGTCGCCAAAAGCTGTGAGTGCTGATTTTGGGGAGAGAGGGTTTGGGATAGGAGTGATAAGTGATAGTCATAGTCACAGTCATTAGTCTGTGGGTCGCCACACTAGCCGCTAGCCACCAGTCTAAGTCAAATGGAAGGCTTACGAATCCTGTGTGGATCATGCTGGCGTCATGTCTGCCACCTGTAGTCAAGCTGCTGCAGAGAGGATTTGAAGGGATTCTTGTGCTGGCTGTTCTGCTAGCTGCTAGCTGCTAGCTCCTATCCTGGCTAACAAGTTGACAGCGGTCATTGGTATCTTGAATCTTGGACATTCTGTTCATCTCAAACCCGTTCCGGGTTCAATGGGAACTCATTCAATCTTGTTCAGAGCTTAGAGTTTAGAGTCCATAGACAATGGACTCGATTCGATTAACTGGTTAACTTGTTTCCCAAGCCAGATTTGTGTGATGTCACAGTACCTTCACGAGTGTAGCCCACATTGACTGAGTGGGTAAGGTTTGGTTCTTGGTGATGATTTCTGATTTGGCCAGCCGGCTGCAACCGTTGTTCCTATGCTCGATTTTGAGTAAACCTGTTTCTCTTCCTGTAGGCCTCTACGAAACTCAGGGAGTTCCTGGACACTTACAGTGAGGTGAGTGAATTCAAAGGGCATGCCTTGCTGAAGGACCTGCGTTCTTCAGTTGAGCAGGCGAACCAACTCCGGATCCAAGCCTCGGTCCTCAAAATTGAGGGCATGTTGATGCATGCTGCCAGGACAAAGCTGAGGAAGACTCAGCGCGAACTGGTGGGAGTGCAAATGACGGAAATCGCATCTTCGGATGACCTGGAAGAAAATATGACCCAACCAATTCTCCTGAAGTTTGCCCAGTCTCATTTGCACTGAGTCTGGGCAGACGCTTTTGACTGAAGTCTTAGAAAGTTGCAGCGCCTGTGTGCGCTGGCCGCTGGCCGGCTACGTCAGCCTTAGGCCTTAGACGACCCAGCGCTTAGACCAGGAGGCAACTTCAAGTTTTGGGTGTGTGGGGCAGCAGTGAGAGCATTGCTGCATGGTGTCATGCTGACCAGGTGAGATTTCCTCAGACAAGCCTTATCGGTGCTGCTGGCCAGCCAGCGATCAGCTTTAATTGCGATGTTTACTTTAAACTTTAAACTTCAACTGAACTGTTTCATTTTATCAGTGCGTTCACTTTCTGTCAGTTGGCGTGCCTGGCAGCGAAGGTTTTGACAGATTATTCACTGGGCCACTGGGCACCTCACCAAAATATCAATGCATCCATGATTGTATATGGTCCCCCAACATTATCGGTAGCAGAACCCCGAGGGTGTAACAACATTGTTGCGCCAAAGGGTGTTTGAATTTGAACCTCCTGATATGGGGCTTCGTTTTGCCAATGAATGCGGTTTGTAAAAGCTCGGGCTTTGAAGTTCCAACGATGAGCATCTTTTGTTTGAAACGGGTTTCGCTTCCAAGTGCAAACATTTGATAGCAAGTCGAAGTGTTGAAGGGGACGCTTTTCACTAACCGGCCAAAAGTCTCATGGGTTCAGTCTCTGACCCGATCCCAAGAAGAAGCACACACACACACACCCCAAAAACCAGTAGCAAAGCTTTCCTTCAAGTTTCGAGCCCTACAGACATATCCCAGCCAACCAGTTGGCTAGGTTTCTCACGTGATGTTACCACGAACGGGTAGCTGGCAAACGAGAAAGGCCTGATCAGCTGGAAAACACCAGTCTCTTAGAGTCTTAGACATCGAGTCCTGTGCTTGTCCAGGCTGATCTAGAGTGTTGCGGCGTGCGCAAAAGCACCAAGCTCATGTTCTGAATTTGGCCATTGCGGCTGTCGTGATGGAAACGTATTCTATGGAGAAGGTCCGGTGTGTTTGCGCGCACGTGTACTAGTAGCTTAGTAGCTGCAGCTGTGGCTTAGTAGCAGGTAGACTGAGGCAGGTTTCAACGCCCAAACCAGTTGACCGTTGACAACCCTCTAAGACTCTAGGACCTAGGACCTAGGAGTCTCCGAAAGAACTTTGACATTTCAGATTCATAGAGCCAAATGTCAAAGTCAAAGGCCTAAACTCTAGACTCTAGACTCATAGCTGCTGCTAGCTGTTGGAACCGAGGCAAACCTGTCAATGATCCCCAGGATCCGACCCAGACGCTCCTGCACTTGTGGGTGTTTTTTCTGTGTAGTGACGTGGTGAGCCAAGTTGACTTTACCCCTCAAGTGTGTGTGTGTGTATCTGGCCTTGTGTTCAGGGCAGCTTCAGCGTTGCCCGCAAAGATTTGGATGCTGTTGATGGGGGGGGGCGACGCCCGACTGGAGAGGTTCCCTGACATTTGTCATATGTCCAAAGGTTAATCGTTTTCTCCAGCTATAGTAGCACAGTAGCATCAGTAGCAGCGTAGCAGTAGCAATCGCACTCTAGCTGCTGAGAACCCTTTTGGATGTCGATTTCAGCGAGCGGCTTCAACAGCTGAGATTGCTCTGTGTCACGCTTTTGACTTTCTTGCTCACAGCAACGACTGAGCGCGCTGCAGTTTTCCCAATAGCAAGTGAGAAAGCCGAAGGTAGGTTTGGATGGCAGGAATGAAATCTACCACTACAATGCTCGTTTGGAACCTTTTTGTTTGCATTGCAGCGTTTCCGTGGGGACACGGTTCTGGTAAGAGTGACAAATCAGCGACAAAGGTGGGTTAACTTGAAGGCTACTAGGCCCTAGCTTCAGAACACCTCTGAAGACCAGAGCTGCCTGGCGAAGCGCTGTCATACAATCCCGAGCGTGCCCAGATTCTGAGATACCTGGACTTACCTAGGCCAGCAATTCTCAGCTAGTGTCGCTGATCTAAGCTTTGCGTTCATTGGGTGTGGTTGATTGGTTCACTCTAAATGTCAACGACTTTGAGAAGTTTCACGTTTCAGGCAACTCACCCCACCAATCACCGCTATTGGGCACGAGTTTGCTTAAGCTTGGGGCACCGTGCGGTTCTATTTTAACAAGGGAATAGGTTTGCTTCCTGTCTTCACATTGCCACTCCCACGGCGCGAGCCCAGGCTTCAAAGATGGACGCTTGCCCTGTTCAGGGCCCTGACGATGCATTCACTTGGGGGCAAGTGGCCGTTTGCGCGGGCGCTGTGGCCTTGGTAGCTGCTCTCTTGGTGACTGGGTGCAAACTTTGCTTGTCCACTTGCCAGAAGCCTGACAGTGAGCTGGTGAAGCGTTTGAACCTCCGAATCTTTGATTTGGAGGAGGAAGTAGAGCAGCTTCGTCTTTCCATTCAAACTGTCAAGGAGAAATGGGAGGTTCACTATTGCGACCAGATGGTCTTTGCTCAGAACAGTGAGCTCACTTTTATGCCGCATGGCCAGGTCTGGCACACTAATGCGCAGTGTGCAAAGAGGACATCTGCGCACAACCAGCCTGAGACCAGAAGGGCTTGCAAACTTTGTTGCGGCCAGATTGTGAAGCGCATGCCTTTCCCAGTCAATATCACAACCCAGGGAAAATGATGTCAGGTAAGTCCAGTCTATCCTGACCTACCCAATATCAATGTCAGCTGTTTCTTGACTGGAAAGTTTTTTGAGCAACTCCTGCCGCAGGCCAGTTGGTTCCCAAACCACTGGATTTCAACCCAAAACAAGGACTTGCGCAGAAAAACATGTTGTTGCTGCTGCTGCTCCGAGACAGTGTGAGTGGTTGGTGCTTCTATTCCTCTTTGACCACAGGAAATCACCAGTTTTTTCTTCAGTTGCAAGTTGTAAAGTTTAAAGGGCCCAGTAGCTCCCATATTTATGGATTTTTGTTTTTTTAAAGATTGTGTTTGAAAACTTTGCCGTTCTTTCCATTATTTGCTTTTGTTGGGCAACTTAGCCCAACAATGCAGTTGCACTTTCCCAGCAACAACAGTTTTCCAGCCCAAGACATTTTGAAGGAATGTTTCTCTTTGGCGTTTGCAGTGAAACTGCTGAACAGTTTGGCGCTGCTAGCTTGTCAAAGCCAGGTGTGTTGTGGCCATTGCCCCTTCTGGAACGTAGAGGTGATCATCCATAGGTGTATTTTGCTTATTTTCCCAGATATGATCTGGGCGCAAAATTAATTTAAGGGCTGCCGCCCCTGCCGCCGACCCCGGATTCTCAGGGGGCGACAGGCGAGTGAACCCCCAGTGCTTCCAAGCTTCTAAGGATGAACCCCCAGTGCGGGGTTCCCTTTTCGAGGCTCTATACATGAGATTTGGGCACGAGGGGCAGGGAACTGGGGCCTCCGAGCGCCGAAAAGGAAAACTCACGGCTCCAAACCATCCGGAAGCGCCGCATGAAGCTGACTAGATCAGGGAAGACGAACAGGGTAACAGGGTGACCCGACAATTTGGTTCGTTTGGGGTGAACCAGGGATATTTTATGGATAAATTTAAAATCAACATTTGATATCCGGCTTTTCCTCGACTGGTTGGGGGGTTTCAGTCGTCCTTTTAAAGGTTGCTCTTCTGGAACCGTCGTTTCTTTCCGGTGTCGAGGTCGGTGCCCGTGCGGAGCGTTTCATTGCCTGCTCTCTGGATTGTGAGTTGACTCAGTTTACTCTCCTTTTCCACAGAAGACCGACTGAAACAAGTCACTAGCAACTCTGTAAAGATGGCCGACAGAAGACCGACAGGAGCCTACATAGTGAGCGCTGAGCGCATTAGTACGACTGGTTTCGAGAGTTTTCCAGGCGGTGCCTTCGTGGACATCGTACAACGTCTCACTTCAGATAACGTTGAGCCTCCGGGTAACACACGTAGTGTCCGTTGGACACGACGACAATCTTCAGGAATGCGCCATCTCAGAAACATAAACTTGGCCGAGGTCTATGGACACCGCCCAAAGTCGTCAGAAGTATGGTGGCTTTCCCCCTATGAGTTCACTGTTAGCTGGTGTGTTGCCTTGGCATGTGTCCCCACGACACGACGAGAGTGGGAAACCGAAGACGAAATAAGCTGGGATGTAACTTTAACTAGACCGGGCTTGAAATATATCCAGCAACAATGCGATCCAGACAAAAGTCTCTGCCTGAAGCCAAGCATCCACTACAAGCTCAAAATAACCGCATCGAACGAACGGATTTTACTGGATGAAGGTACGGGCACGGAACATCTACAGCATCTGTGTTATCTGCAACGACGGAAACGACCCATCTGTCCGCATTTCGAGAATTCCCCCGTCCCACAACATACAGTCGGTCAAGCTGAACAAAATGCCCGCCTGACCCTGACCTATTTTCGCGCTTGGACTCTAAACAATACGAACGCTTCTCAAAGTGTGCCCTTTGCCGGTCGACTAAAGCAAACGAACCAAACGTGGATGCAAGCACTGCAGTCATGGTTGACACTCTTGCCTTGCGAAGAGACCAAGCGTTACGTCGGCAATTTTTTGTCAGTGTACCGTGTCCGACCTTCGGGTGCAGACACGGCCAACAGCGACGACAGCGGCGTCGACGAGCCTCTTCTTGTAACCTCAGCAACTCTGCCCGCAGCTCTGACAACAGCGTTTCGACAGACAGGAAAACAAAAAGACACTAAGACGGGTGCCAAGCTTGATGACGCAGCTCTGGCCAGTTACAAAGCTGCAGTTGCACAAGCTGATGCAGTCTGGCAGCAAACAACTCGCACAGCAACAACGAGAAAGCCCAACCCATACGAAACACGAGATTCGAAAGAAATCCAAAAAGCCATCAAATCCGCCAAAGCAAAAGGAAAGAATAAAAAAACAACTGGCACCAGCACGTCGGAACCAGTGGCCGGCATATGGCAGAGCGAGGCTCACGAGATAGTCGGAAAGGTCAGCCTATTCCTGACAAATGTTCGACAAAAACGTATGTGCAACAACGAACAGCTAGAGTTCCTTGAAAAGGTGTGCGAGCGAATTCAAGCAGAAGCCATGTCTGGCCAAGATCGGGGAGGCGCTGCCGAAACAAACACACAGCCATTCAGATGGGCTTTGCACGGTGGCCCTGGCACTGGCAAATCCTATGCGTTGAACCTTCTTCGCAAGGAATTGTTCGAAGAACGTCTGGGCTGGCAACAGGGAAGCGAATTCCAAAATCGTTACTTTCCAAGCGGTCAACGCCGAACCTTTGGATGGAGACACCATCCATTCGGCCCTTGGTTTAGCGTGGCACGGAAATGATTCCAACGTGAATGCGCAACGCATCCTCGATTTAGCAGGCAACGCTATCCGTTGGCGTTGGCTGTTGATAGACGAAATCAGTATGGTCAGCGCGGAAATGCTCGCCCGTT